AATGGAAAATAATTTAATATCTATTATTTAATAAGAATATTAATCATGAATTAGTTATAGAATTATTGAATGAAATAAAATATTCAACTGTTTTTGATTCAATAAAATGACAAAATTATAATTATTATTAATAATTTATTAACATTCAATGAGTATTTGCTCTTAATTTATCAAAATATTGTTTTTATTACTAGGAATGATACATTACATACAATCCACATCACATAAGCTAACACAGTTATTTAGCGGTATGATTGCCGCATATTAAATGCATATTAAAGTTACAAACAATAAGTGTTTTATATGAATCGGTAACTATATTACTAGAAGTTTTAAGTTTTAAGTTTGCTATCCTAAGGGTTAGTGTAGGAAACTGTGCTTCAGTGTTGATAACACCGAAGCCTGAGGTGCACACAAACTCGGGGCACACTTTCAGTTTAGTTGCTTTTCTTTGGGGACTAGAATTTTGGCATTCATTTAGCAATTCGTTAACATTTGTGGCGAAAAAAGTTTTGTTTAGAAATTATTGCAAATAATTTATTTGTTATAAAAATGGTCTTTTCGGAAAACTTCTCAAAATGTGTTAAAATCGGAAAATAAAATAATATATTTTGAACCTATAAACCAAAGGTATAATATACCACATATAAAAGTAGACCCGCTATTTTGCTCATCTTTATTTTGGCCACTTTTACCCAATGATGGCTTTCACTGTAGTAGTATACCGTAGTAAGAAAGTACATCGTGTATAGTGAAGTAAGTGTATAGTGAAAGCCATCATAGCGTAAAAGTGGGTAAAATAGAGGGGTTTACTGTTATACTGTATTTATCAATTTCTAATTCCCTGTTTGAAAGACACTTTTTTGAGAAAAAAAATTTAAACTTTCTTTTAACACATTAAATTAGCAAAAATTGCTAATAATATTATTAATTAAGTTAATATGAGTTAGTATTGGTAAGTTTAGGTTAAGTTAGGCTAGCTTTAACTAATTAATTATATAATTTAAGTTTATTTTTTTCAAACAAATATCTTTTTAAGTGTCAAAAACCCATAATTCCCAATGTTTTCATGAGCTAAATTTGGAAGTTCCCGAAGAATCGGTCTAAACATTATTTCTTTACCACAAATACAAAACATTAATATTATGTCACAATTATATGGTCGGGAATTTGAGTATAAATGTATATGAATTGACTTAAAAATGCAATTTAAAGCATAATATGAATATTATTAAGAATAATATTTTCCATCAATTCATTCTAACAGTAATGTAAATCCTCATATCTCGTTTTGTAACATGTAATATAATTTGAATCATTTAGCTATAATTTCATTTTAAAATTTAATTCTTGAAATTTGTCTTTTTGTTAAATTTATATAAAATATTACAGCATTTAAATTAAAAATTGACTTTTGTATTACAAGTTAGTCAGAGAATTACATATTTGGCAATAATATTAAACAAACACAAATATTTGATCCAAACGTAAAACAATGTTTAATTTGTGTAAATACTGTTCAATATATTGAGTTGAAATTGAAATGTCTGTTATAGTGGTTAGATTCAAGGTATTCATCTTTTATCCATAATATTTACATTGGATAGATTGCTCATAAAACTTAGATAATAAAAATATAATTTTATATCATTAAATTCTACGATTGTTACAGATTCATTAATTAATTTATTTTATCATCGGGTATCTGAAGATGAGCATGTTTATTTTTCATAAATGTACTTTCACAAATTTTCATAATTGTTGGTGGATTTGTTTACCAAGACAATTTTTATTCTATATAGGGATATTAAAAATATAATAAAAGTTAAAATTATATGACCATGTTAATATATTAGTTAAAGAATATGGTTCTTACAATAGTTAGAATAATAAGGTAAGAGTAGTTGAATACTGTGTTATTCATTCATAAGTTGTTGTATGTCTAGTGGGTGTGTGTTGTGTGAGAGGTGTGGCACACAATGACTGCATGAGTGTTGATGTGATGCCATGTGAATGAAGTGAACGCATCACACCTTCACTCCATTCACAGCAACACTACTGTTGACAGCGATGTCGGGAACTATCCTCGAGAACCTCTCCAACAAGAAGTTGTCGATTGTATTGTCCATTATTCTTGTCATTCAGTTAATCTCATTCTTCATCGGAGCCTTCATTGGTATGTATTGTATCGCATGTCATATATAAGCCATATATCCTCGAGAACCTCTCCAACAAGAAGTTGTCGATTGTATTGTCCATTATTCTTGTCATTCAGTTAATCTCATTCTTCATCGGAGCCTTCATTGGTATGTATTGTATCGCATGTCATATAAGCCATACTCACGAGTGTGTCTGTCATGTCATGTGCAGCGCCGTCGCCCTCGAGTACAGAGCAGGTGTTGGCCATTAAATGTGTGGCCGAAAACCCCAACCAATTATCGATACCACGAGCGGTGGTCAACACCAATCAGATTCAGCCACAGAACTGTCGAGACATCAATGAAGACTCCAAGACTCATAGGTTTGCCGCTCACTACAGATGATGACAACCTGTGTTAACAACCATTGAATCGCTTCCACTTATAGTGACATAACATTTGCCTTTCAATTACCGCTTCCACGACAAGGCATTCAATTGGATTACAGCCGATGGCAACAAAATCTGTTGACACTTCTCATACCGGAAGTGCTGTACGACACTCGGATGGACACACACACCAACATCAATGTTGACCATCACATCAATTCTACGGTTCAAATGCGGATCCGATTAGCCGTTCGTAATATAGGAGACAAAGACTGGAAATCTTACGCTCATAAAGACAGTCTCAAGAGAACCATCTCTTGTAAAATCGAAGCCAATAAGGTTTGAGACAATTAACCACTCTTTAGATTATTACCAATTGTTATCTGTTGTTATTATAAGTGATTATTGATTTGTTTTGTGTTATTAATTACAGCGAAGACATGGCTATAAATATGACTGCGATTTAATACAACTCTTTGAATTGCAATCTCTTTATTATGACTATTACTTAATTAACTTACAATTTAAGTCAAATGGTTTGTCAATCAATTTAATGCAGTGTTTGTTTATGTTGTTGTGACTAAATTTAAACTATGTTTGCATTCAACAGATTCACTGGATTTTGGTTTTATGAGTGACTTATTGTTAGTGGAGATCCACCAAAACGGAGGCTTTACTAAGATATGGCTTACAATGAAGACTGTGTTTACATTCATGATATTACTTACGCTCATTTGGTTTTCAAAACGATTACAACAACTCCACAGAGAGACAACTCTTCTGGAGAAGACTCTGATAGTATTGGGCACTGCTATCACTCAACTGAATATTCCTCTTGAATTGTTAAGTCTATGGTTTGACATCGAGTTTATGTCGTTTCTCTGTGACCTAAGACAAGGTATCTTTCACTGCGCTCTCCTCTCCTTCTGGATTATCTTCATTGGCGAACACCTTCTCGTATGTCTCGTATTAACAATCGTTTGATTCATAATTATTTAATGTGTTGTTTATCTTAAAGGACGGCATTCATAGATCGCGTCTGTCTTCGTATTACAAGCAATTGAGTGTCGTTTTGGTCGCTTATATCGCGCTTTTCATATTTGATTTGAGCGAAAGAGGCATTCAATGGTTTGATCCCTTCTTCACTATATGGGAAGTGGATTCCAGATTTGCTCTTATATTCATCATAACAGCCATCAACAGATTCACTGGATTTTGGTTTTATGAGTGACTTATTGTTAGTGGAGATCCACCAAAACGGAGGCTTTACTAAGATATGGCTTACAATGAAGACTGTGTTTACATTCATGATATTACTTACGCTGATTTGGTTTTCAAAACGATTACAACAACTCCACAGAGAGACCACTCTTCTGGAGAAGACTCTGATAGTATTGGGCACTGCTATCACTCAACTGAATATTCCTCTTGAATTGTTAAGTCTATGGTTTGACATCGAGTTTATGTCATTTCTCTGTGACCTAAGACAAGGCATCTTTCACTGCGCTCTCCTCTCTTTCTGGATTATCTTCATTGGCGAACACCTTCTCGTATGTCTTAACCATCGTTTGATTCATAATTATTTGTTGTTTATCTTAAAGGACGGCATTCATAGATCGCGTCTGTCTTCGTATTACAAGCAATTGAGTGTTGTTTTGGTCGCTTATATCGCGCTTTTCATATTTGATTTGAGCGAAAGAGGCATTCAATGGTTTGATCCCTTCTTCACTATATGGGAAGTGGATTCCAGATTTGCTCTTATATTCATCATAACAGCCATAATAGTAAGAAAAAATCCTATGATGTAACTTCCGAGATAATGGCCAAAACAGAAAACCCTCCCCCATATACTCTCCCATAGAAAAAATTATAAATTCAAATTTGCGCTCAAATTTGGTCAAATGGTTAAATATAACCTTGATAAATTATATTTGAATCATGGTGTCATTATAAGATTACTGGGCGTGTCGATTTCCCCCACTTGTTACAATTATAAAAATGGTTATAATTTATAACTTATAAATATAATTTATGGTTAAATTTCAGTTTCACCAAACTAAATAATTTTAAAAATGTTATATAAATTCTATATAAAACTTACTAGGTTTACAAATAATAAATTAGGTGTAATGTTAAATGCACGGCTTAAGTGATAAATGTAAACCGAGAAATGTATCAAATAAATTGTATATTACATTACATTACACTTTATTTTATAATTGAATTATCAATAAATGGTATTTTGTAAAAAAGAGCAGAGAAGTGGTATTTTGTCATCAATTTAATATAGGATTGTATTCTCAAAGATATAAAATAACATAAAAGTAAATATTTTGGAATAAGTTTTAAACATTTATTTGAAATTGTCATAAAATAACACAAAAAATACTGCAGAAATAAGATTTGTAAAACACGTTAGAATACAAAATAACAATAACTAAATTATATTATATTCCTCTTCTATTTATAATTTTTTCAACTAAATTTTGAATATCTTTTGCAACACTCAAACACATGATTAGCATTTCAAAACAATTATATTTTATAAGTTATTTAATAAAATTATAAGCAAAAGCAATTTAAGCAAATGCTTAAATCAATTATCGTATATAATATACAAATGTTTTATGACAAACCTTTTTCTTAAAAAGTATGAAATCTATTAATAATTGTTTTGTATTTAAAAAAGTATATGTAATGAAAGTGTGTTTTTTGGTTGATATGTAAAATGCGAATTGATTAAGACTTACAGTTTGACGAAATGTATGAAATATGAACACTTGTTTAGGCAATAGTTCTCTTCGTTCGGAACTTTTTTGGTTGACTTTTACTAAATCTATAAAAGAGTGAAAGGTTTGGCTTAAGTATTGGTTTCGGTGGAGCGGCACATGAGCTGTTGGTCTGCGCTTCTGTCCATTTGAATGATCGGTAATACGTCTGAACACAACCACATCATTAGGTCTGACGAAAGAGCGTAGGAATAAAATCACAATTTATTGTATAATAAGATATAAGCGGATATTTAGCTACAAATATAGGCATAAGTGATAGAAAATAGTTTTGGTAATAAATAAGTTTATAAAGCACTTCACTTTATAATTAGTACTATCGATAAATTTAGTTATGAAAACAATCAACATTTCATATGATGTCTGACGGCTCTTATAATTTATATTATTTATCGTTTGGATTTTGTATATTGTTTGCCATAAAATTAATAATTTAAAATCAAAATTCAAATTAAATTAAACATACCATTAAATTTACATTATAATTATCATTTTAATTAACTTATTATTAAACTTATTAAAGAAATTTATGATATATAAAACCATTTCATAATTATATGCTAATTATTATCATGTGTAATGGTAGTAAAACATCCATTACATTATAAATTAAAATGATAAAAATTCTTATAATTAGTTATTTAGATGTGAGTTATTAAATGAAACTAATCCTAAATATTATCGTACGAATCAAATAAATCTCTCATTTGGAGGAAAATAATTTCCAAAAACAACAAAATCTTATATAAAATATCAGATCTTTCTATTTATTGTAAGTCTTAATCAGTGTTTGTTTGTAATCTCATCCCAATATTGAAACTATTTTCCGTTTGTCTTTAATTAGCGGCAAAGCCATAGCTAATGGATATCACAAAAAATGAACACATCTTTCGGTTTGGGAATAATCGTCCTATAGTTTCAACATTGAAAAGGACTGTCACTACGAGTACTCAATTTGTTTAACGTTTTTATTATATCATCTAAAATATAAACACTTCACCACAATATATAAGAAATTAATTAATACTACTTTTTAAGTCAAATACAATACACCGTTTGTGTCAATCAAACTGTCGTATGAATTACTAAATCGCATTACTTGTTAAATATTTGAATCTAATATTGCTTTTATTTTAATAATAAACTTAATCTTAAAAATATTTTTATAATAAATATTCAATTATTATTATATTTTAGTAAAAGACATCAGTAAGATGTCACATCACTAGACTTTATGAAAATTATATTTAGTAACAAATGAATGAATAATATTGTACTTTTCATTTATTATTGAAATACAACTCATTCACTGTAATCTTCATCTGAATTATTGATTAATTAAATGTCTTTAAAATTTTACTTTTCCTAAAAGGCATCAAAACAATAGTCACTCAAACTCTTTAGCATTTCAATTATGGAAACATTTTATTTTGAAAAATATTTTTAAAAGTTAAACCAAAAGAATAACAAAACCTAAATATTAAACACATTATCTCTTTTCGTCATTTTCTAACTCCTATTATAAAAGGTATACAAAGAAAGTTCACTGAAAATACGATGCCTTTAGAAAACAGATTAAATTATTTTTGATTTCTTATTAAAGATTTGTTTATTAGAGATAAGAATTACAATATATTGTAATCATTCTTAAGAATATTTTTTGTTGTGTTTTCACTAAAAATACGATGCCTTTAGAAAACAGATTAAATTATTTTTGATTTCTTATTAAAGATTTGTTTATTAGAGATAAGAATTACAATATATTGTAATCATTCTTAAGAATATTTTTTGTTGTGTTAGAAAATAAAATATTTGTAATAATTGCCAGAATAGTCAGTATAGTACAGATTTAAATAAATTTAGTTCAACACAATTTGCTAGTATAGATAATAGATATAACAACTATGTAATGATGTCTAATAATAGCTGTTAACCATAATTTAGCGTAATAAGTGATTTGTAAATTTGAACATGCACTGTACATCCCACCAACACGGAAAGCACGTTTATGAAAACAACACGGAATCTAATATTTAGATCTCGATTATATTACACAGTTTTAATTTATTCTTGCATTTTGATTTTAAAATCATTTGTATAGCATTTCAAATGAATAATGTAATTACAACACATCAGCCACTTTTTGAGCAGTTAATGTAAAATTATTTTTAAATACTAATTTAATTCATTAAATATTGTTTAAATATTAATTATTAAAAGTGAAAAATTGTTAAACATTATCAAAATATTAGATTTGTTTGCAGGGATTGTGAGTTGTTGTTAAATATAAACGAATTCTTGAATTAAATGTTTCGTAAATTGACAACAATATAGAGAATGCAATTTCGACCCAACGTTTCCCTCTTCGCAACTGAACACACCTTTTGTGTCATTCGCTCTATTTTTAACCACAATTCATATATGAAGATGTCGTTTAGAGAATCGTTCGGCCCCCTCCCCCTCCGTCCCTTTCGCTCTGTGGGATTACAGCTTAAGCCCATGCATTAACATGGGAATTCTTCCATAGGATTAACATGGGGACGCTTTAACATCGGCTTCTATGGAATTACAGCTTAAGTTTATGACAGAATTAACATGGGTAATGCAAAGTCTATGGCAATGCTAATCCTATGGACAATGTTGAGTCTATGGGACTAATGTTAATCCTACGGGAATAATGTTAAGTCTATGGGGCTAATCCTATGGGAAGTCAATTGTATTCATATTAAATCTGCATATAATGCTAATCTATTCTTTGAGTAATACCCGAATTGTGGTTAACGTAGAGCATCGCTGTGTATGAGTTGTTTAATACATTCTTATTCTAGACAAGAATATTTGTAAGTCGAATAAATCAAAAATTATTCGAGAAAAATAATTTCAAATTTCATTTTCAAACTCAAAGTCTAATTTTAAATAAGGTTACGGATCGACCCGTCGGTGGGTAACGGATGACCCGTACCCGACGGGTACCGATGACGGGAATAAAAGTGTTGTCCTCATTTGTTGTCCAACACGTTCAGAATATTTTCATTGCATATATGAACTAAACAATTGCTGTAATATTGAAAGTATATACTTTTAAAGCCACAAAATAGTTTGTACAATATTAGAACAAGCCTTATTGTAAAGTATGCAGAATATTCTGATGGCAATTTCTGTATACTTCAATATCCTATACTTCAATATAGTAATGCCATAAAAATATCAAATGCACAATTGTATTCTCATCCAAACTTTAATTAAAATAAGTTAGAATTTAATATTTTAAGCAAATATTTTGGTTCAGTTTTCAGCCAATGATTTAATTTCATTTATTTAGAAATATTAAAACATTCATTCGATAAATTCAATACAATTAAGTATATGTCATAATACAAAAAGCATTACAAAGTAATAAATAAATTACAAAATTAAGTCATACTTAGAAAATGATTAGAGAATATGTGTTCAAAGCTCTAATTATATGAATACAATTCAATGTGTTGTTCATTGTTTGTTATAAAGTGTTATTACAATCAAATCAATTGAAAGCAAAACATAAACAGCGAAAAAAATGATAAAATATAAACAATAGTATCGATAAAAGCAATGAATGAAAGCAATAAATATTGAGTAAAAAACATAGAAAGCGTGCGAATTGTCAATAAATAGTTGTCGATTATTCAGTCAATGTTGGACTTTGTGGCCAAATGTTGTAATAGACTCATATCACTGGCTTCGGAAGTGCCGCCACTGCTTCCCATCACGTTCTCTGTCTTGTGTTCATTATTCTCGTCGTGTTCTGTGAGGCGATTAAACTCAATCTCTTCGGACATTGAATCCACATTTTGGCCGAGCTTTCAATCAAATCAATTTCATTCATTATATAGACATTAAATCACAATTGAGTAAAAATTATAGTATTCATAGTAAACGTAAAGTAGAATTAATTAGTCAATGACTTGCGATCACAAACACAAGTCTTATACAATTAAAGCTCTCATTAAGAGAGCGACTAATTAAATCTTAAATGTATATTTCAGGAAACAATACATCCTATGTCTAGTCGCTTGTAATGTAGAAAACAGTAAACAATTCTTGTAATCTTACAAATTGTATTTCAATTGTTTTTAAGTATTTTTAATCTCCTTTTGCAAACAGAGTATTACTTAGGATCTAAACAAATCTAATAAAAGATTCTATATAATAGACTATTATTAATAGTCTATAGATATAATAAATGAACAAACTTTACCTCTTTATGTGAGGGCGCGTATAGTATAAGTAGAGTTATTACATAACAATTCCAAAGAGCATAGACTGTGGTAAACATAGCACTCGTCCATTGAAGAGGTTCCACATACGGGTCCGCGTCCTCCCAATGCCATTGATCTTCGGTTACCTTTTTATAAGACAAATAAAATTGTAAACACAATACATAACACTTGACTAATAATATTAAATACCTGTCCCATAATATAGGCGACAACAGTGGCGGCCGCGCAAACCAGTGTTGCCAACAGAAGGAATTTGAACCGATATATGATTCCTTGATATATAAGACGACGAGTCGATGACATCGACGGCAAACTCGACTGTTTAGTTGATATATTGCGAAACGCAAGCCTTCATTAAGACATTTTTTCAGTTAATTATATATTCATTAAAAATAAACGCATTCTTTAAACGAACCAAATATGAAAGCATAAAAACATGAAGTATCCGATCGAAGCAATACTGGCTGTTATGATGAATATAAGAGCAAATCTGGAATCCACTTCCCATATAGTGAAGAAGGGATCAAACCATTGAATGCCTCTTTCGCTCAAATCAAATATGAAAAGCGCGATATAAGCGACCAAAAC